GCCGAGTTCTGGGACGTCTGGGTGCCCGCTCTGTCCTGTGAGCACTGCAAGCTGCTGCGGGCGGTGCTTGGTCCTGTGGTCATCGTCGGGAAGAGCAGTATTGGTTTTCTGTATTCTATTTCTATTATTGGTAGTATTAGTTTTAATATTATTTATAGTCTTTTCACTGTTATTATTTTATTAAAGTTTGTTTTAAGTTCCAACCTGTCAGTCTTTCTCCCTTTTCTCCTCTCCTTCCCCCTCTGGGAAAGGATGGGGTTAACAGAGAGCATCTGCCACCTGCTTTAAGAACCGGCCTAGCCTTAAACGGTGACAGGTGGTCGCATTAACATGTCGCTTGGCAAGCAGGAACCTCCTGGGTGCAGATGTCTGTGTGTTCTCCTCTGGAGCTACTGTGAACAGATCATTCTCCTCCTCAGAAGCAGTTCCCCATGCAGGCTGGGCATTGGGAATTCTTCTTGGGCAGTTTTTGTTCAAATCTGGGTCCAGTGAAAAGGCTTCCAGTGTTCTCTTTTTCAACCCAAATCTGCTTTTCCAATTTATTAGCAGGTAGGGAGAATCTCTTCTAAAATTTGGGTTATAGTAGGAGAGCAACAAAAAAATGCAAAGGAGAGAGAAGAGTTAGTTACCACCACCTCAGGACTGGAAAACACAAAGATATGACAACTAAGAATTTTAATTGCAATGGACGAATGTGGATATGAAAAAAAAGACTATTGAGGTATTCTCAACCTGAAGTTTAGGCTGAATAAAATTTATGTACAGTTTTGTTAGCAAGTAATCAGGCTTGTGATTTCATCACTTGGGAGTAATAAAGTGTAGGATTTTCAAAAGCATACAAACTGATTAAAAAACCCAAACACAGCTAACTTTTAGCACCTTCAGGGTGGAATGAACTCATAGACAATTGTAAGATACTGACACGTTTCTTCTCAGCGTTCAGGAGATTGGCACATACATAGCAAGATACATAGCAAAGGCCAAAATAAATTGTCGTGTGATCTTTCTGTTTCATGGGTTGAAAGTAATTGGAAATAACCAACCTACATTTTGTCAACATTTCCATTACTCAAAAAAACTACCTCAAAAACTCCTGAACACAAGCTGACAAAAATATAACAATCAGAACTTTTACTACCATTTCACAGAAATCTATCCCACTAGAATATTCTGAGAGTTAGTTTGCAGGTAGAGAATCTGACATACACCCCCGGCTGCTTCTTCTTCTAGTGAATCATTGAACGAGTTAGATCTTGGAAAATCCCATTGTTTTCTGGTGAACCCATGGAAATGGAGGTGACAAGTGAAACTTTTCACGCACTCAGTGTCAAAAGTTCTCAGAGGTGCTTCCCTTCCAAGCACTTCCTTCTTGAACAATTCTTCATAAATTTCTATGTATTCTTCATGCTAATCCCACCAAATTGACTGAAATGCTTCGCTTTCAACAATGTCCCAGAGCTTCTTCAGAGAGCTGAGGGATGAAAAGCCATGACTTTTGCCAGAGCTCTCTTCAGAAGAATTGAAGTCCAGTCTTTTTGTGAAGGGTGGATGACTCAAAGTTTGGAAGACCTTTTCTTCTCCTAAGCCAGTGTTACATACATTATTTTCATTTTCTTGGTGGTGTATCAGTCTATATAGATGCTTATCAAAAGGCAGGCTTCTCTGTTCTATATTTCCGTACAGATGAGACACATGAGCTTTGAAAGATAAAATCATCATCTTTCCAAACTGGTGAAATGCATCTTTGATATTTTCTTTGTCATGTTAACGACAACCAAAAAATGGTGAAAAAAAGAGTGAGAACTCTTTTAGGTAGATACTCTAAAGTATTCAGACACCTAAGTGTATTCACTGATAATGAAATCCAATAAAATATTCCCAAACTTCCTGGGTAGGTAACTCCCATTTCGTTCAAAAGAAATTAAAATGTAGTTACTCTGGAAAATCTACTAGCCATCAATCTGCATCACTAAGTGATATAAAAATAGAAAGTCCATAATTGGCAGAATTGGTTCTATTTTACATTTTTCAATGGTGATTAAAATTTCAGACCAGTATTTAGGGTCTGACCAATGACAACAATGTGTTACATAAACTTTTTTAGTTAGAGAATGTTTGAGCCATTGATTTTTTCTTTCATTTTTTATTTTCTCAATTCTTACTTAAGATGAATACCATACTGAACCAAAAGAATGTTTCTGTAATTATTTAGTAACTAAATAATGTAAAAGAAAAGTTGACATGCTGGCTGGTCCTTTTAAAAATATAATGAATATGTTTCTTGCAAAAACAAATTTTGAAGTGATTAAGGTATAACACATAAAATGGCGCTCTGCAAAACCACAATTCATATCTACATCATTTTTTCTGGGCATCCTATAAACTGTGCAGTCTGAATATGTCCCTGTGCACATAGGAAAATAGTTAAGTCATCTGTACATTCAAAAAATGAAGATTCTATGAATATGACTGTATCCTGTTCACTCAAGTGCACCATGAGGGGATTTTTAAAACCTCAATGGCTCCACTTGTTTGCAGGAGGAAGCGTGTGTAGATATTTGATCAAATAATATTTACTGGGCTTTTTAATGCTGTAGCACTGCAATACCCTGTGTTTGTTTTCCAGAACTTTGTTTAGTGTGATCTCTTTCTATTTGCAGTTCTGTGATAATATTCCCCTCTTCTGCAAGTAAAAATCATATGTAGCATTTTGGAAATTAATTCCTCCAGTTCTGTGTCATTACACATTCTACTGTCAGGGCGATCTGATGTTTCTTTGCATATATGAAGAGCTTCAGATAACCAAGATTATGTAGGTGCCTTGTGAGATTTTGCAAAAAGTTTAGGCAACAAAATCCCATCAAAACCTGGAGAATGAAGCACTTAATTTGTACAGGGACCTTCAAAATTTCAAAAAACAGCTGTTCAGTCTTTGACATTCTGACTCTTTCATTTTATTGGAAGGAAGTGCAGGGCTTGATTCAGTTACTCATTCTTGATCTGAGAAATATAGTGCTGGGGGACCTGCAATCCCACTGAGGTAAGTCATTACAACTGCAATGCTGTATGGATGATAAATCTCTTCTTATACCTTCAGAAACCCTTGTGAAATATTCTTTTGCATATTCTGTGTTACACTGTCTATAGCAAATCAATAGGGAGAGAAAATAATTTGTGAAAAAACTCTTCGTAAAAGATTCTTACTACACACTGGAGATTAATTTTAATAACACAAAGTAGCAGTGAAAATGTACTGGAACAGACTTTAATATACCAAAGGTAGATATTTTGCTTTTTTATTCCCTGAACTGCACCTGAAAGAAGGCTGTGCTGCTGGGTAAAAATAAATTGTATGGCATATTTTCCAACAGTAAGAACCTGATCTATCACCCTCATGCATATCAAGAGATACTTATTCTATAGTCCTTTATTTAGACCCTACTGCCAAGAAAAGTTTTATACTGAGGAATGGGGAAAACAAATTATTTCACAGTTGCATGCTATAAGGTCAGTTTTCCTGCAGAGCTCCAAAGTCTTATTTCTGTCTAAAAATCTCAAATTGAAAGAGAACTATCCACAAACAAACATGCACTTCTTGTGAGTTTTAATTTATGCTTGTTTTAGGCTGTAGGTTTTTTTCTGACTAGCTGATTAACAAGAGATGAAGAAAGGTGTGGGAGTCTTTAATGAAACGTATCTTACATGTAGTCTGTTTATTGTTACTACTTTGCTATGCTGACTGAGTATTTTTCAATGCAGTGCTATCTGATGTTAAAAAAAAAACAGAAAAATTCTTACAAGTTCTGTCCAAGAACTTCAGTGTATCAAATAAAGTGAATAATCATACTTAAGGAAGGTTGATCCTTTCTAGAAAAAATGTAAGTTATAACCGAAGTTGAAATGAGTAGCCTACAAACAGAGATGCACATATGAACACTCCATGCCCCCATAGGTGCAGGGCTAGGCAGGTGTGCCTCCACATAAGTGGACATAGCAAGGGTCTGGTGTATTGCAGCAGCAGGTGCTAGTTCGTTACGATCCTCGTAAGAAAGGCTCTCAGACTCTGTGACATATAATTTAAAATGCTATTTGTTAGAGCTAACACTGTAAGGAGAGAAGAGTATAGATAACCTACATCCGCTTAGATGCCGAGTACCTTGTGTGCTTCTGATCCACTCTGGGCAGACCCAGTGCACAGAAGAGATTCTCCTATTTTGATTGTTTGAGCTATTATGGGATTTTCTTAGAAGGACACAACTCTATTTGTAATTTCTACTGTCAAATAGAAAGATGTTCATATCAGAACTTCTTGCTCCACTGTTCAATAAAGGCAAAGCGTAATAGCTGGTACCCAGTGGGAGCTGCCTGCAGTTACAGTGAGCAAGCTGAGTTTATTCTGGGACGAAGGGATTTATGCGGCACAACACAGACCTGAAGGCCACCATGTACATGCAGTACAGCACAGCACGGGCCTGGGCTCACTCAGATTAACCATAGTGGCTTTGGTTCATTTTAACGACTATATTATTAAGATGTACTAACAATACTAAATTGACACAGAACTTGAGAGCTAGAGAAGGCAAATAAATGCAGTCCATCTGGAAAGGTTAGGTCAGACAGGGGGGACAAGAGCTTCTGTGTTTTTTTGGTGGTTGCAGATAGATAGTGTGTGGCTTTCAGCGGTTTTAGTATACCATCTATATCTAACACAACACTCATTATAACGATTTCTCCCTGGTAGGTCCTGATAGTCTTTGATGGGCCTGGCTGTCCTAGGCCACATGCTGTAGCGTATGATAACCCCCATCAGTATTATGTGTGAGTCACCTCTGACCAGATGATATAATTCTTCACAGTATAGATCACTACACTTAAAGATGATAGTTCCTATCTCCAGCAAATCTCCACTTTCTATCACTGCATCTTTCTGCAGGGATTCCAGGGGAGATCGATGAATTCCACCTCTCATTCCAGTACACAGGTCTCAAAATGTTCAGATATAGACATAGATAACTTTTTTTTTCTTTAAAATCATATAAATGACAGCAGTTTGAGAGAATGCAGCTTCAAAACTTGAAACTATCCAGGAAACCACCATACAGACAAATTTAAGCCTTAAAGGAGTTACAAATTAAATCTGGGCTAACAATTCATAAACAATAGTTTATCTAATCAATATAAGTTTTATTTTGCAAACTAATCAGGAAATTTTTTCTGATCATATCAAATGTAATTTATTGCTTGATTTACTTAATTTATTTTCAGAATATTTTATTAAATAATTATTGGTTGATGGATTATAGTAGTAATTCATTGGAAGTATCTAAATTCAAAATCCAAATGGCTTTGGTTACTTTTAATTGGAAACAAGACTGGAGTTGTTTCAATTCTTTATCTCAATGAGTGACACCTAGAATCCATTACTTATGTAAATATTTACACTCTTAAATGGTTTCCTTCATATAATTCTGAAAATTTTACTGAAATTTATGCTTCTACACAAAACACTAGCTCTTCAAAACTCAATACTTATATTACTTAAATAAAATGTATTAACATGATGCCAGCTACAATAGAATGACAATTTGTTTGGGAGTGCAGATGATGTTCTCAGTGATCAATATGTTGTTAATGCTATTCTTTTAGTAGTATCAATGGGTCATCTGCAAAAATGCTTATTAATATGCTTAAAGGAGTAAGTGCAAAACAAGTTTAAAAACACAATAAATGCAACCACCTCTTGCCTTAAAACTATGCTAAATTAAGTACAAGAATACAGGGATAAATGCCATACATCTTTTCCTTAAAAAAAAAGAAAAAAAAAATTGTCCTTCTATGATTAAAAAGAGAACTGAGTAATATAGCACATCAATGTTTTGGCACTGAACAACTTTGGAACTGATTTCTTCTCACAGGCAACTAAGCTGCCATTTAACAGCAACATTACTTCTCAGGCTTAACCACAGTTGTACATAATTCCACAGCAGTGTCCCTAACATCTTAGTTAATTGCCTGGTGAATTGTCATAACATGTCAGACAAATTCCAAGGCCGAAACAGTTCAGAATTTAATGGAATTCAAATGACATTACTGTTATTCTAATTTTTCAGAATATCTTATGACAAGGTCACTGACTTTGCACACTATCTTAAGTCTGCTTTTTGACATACATTTTCAAAACGAAAACCATCTGGTCCTTACCTGACAGACACATTAGAAGCTGATCTGCAAATGTCACGATACTGTCACCATTAAAGAGATTTTCCATCATTTCTGGTTGTTTTGATCTGTAACTTCATTAAAGATTCTTTGATATTTTTAACCTAGCTCTTAGTGGTAGAAGGGAGAAGATCTTCCATGTTTCATAGGAATTCCTCCAAAAGACAGAGATGCTAAATCTGGCTTGCTCTGGACAAAATATTTTTTTTTCCTTTAAAAAGAAAAAAGAAGTTTTTCTGTCTTGATGTTTCATACAAGCAGAATTTCAGGATTTTCCAGACAAATAACAATTGCATTTGCGTATATAGGCAGTTCATACAGTCCACAGCCCATAAATTTGATCTGTCTGCCATATTCACTGCAGTGACTGTGCTCTGCCTGCAAGCATATTTCTATCTGGAAAATCATGGATAAGCATATGGTAATCTTCTTCATAAAAATTTCAGTTTCACCTGCAACCTTCTTTTTATCTTTGTATGGGAGGAAATTTCTCCTCTTAC